CTGCAGGGATTTTACTCTGCAAATGCCCACACTTTGAAAAAAATCTTCATGGTTTCTTTCTGTCCCTTCTCAGAGGACAGAATTCATTCTGTCCTTTTATGGGTGCAGGTAACTGTACTCAAAATTACGGGTGCAAATTTATAGCATAGATGCCTACTGAAAATATTATCTCATAATTTGTATAATACAATTAAACATATTAAATCCATCATTTGACAATATAAATATTGTTAGCAAATGTAGACCTTTGGTTGATTTTATTTGTATTATGTTGGAATGATTATGCTGGGGAAAATTCTTAGAAGTCCAGAAAATGATAGCAAATGAAAAAACATGAGAAGGGGTAGATAATAATTGGATATAGTCTAAACAGGAAGTGGAACTGTTTAAAACTTGCTACCCACAGCCACTAGACTTTTTAGGACAGCCACTAGACTTTTGGGGAAATTCAGATCTGAATCCAGATCCAAACTGGAGTCCATTTATAATGATAACTTTGTAACCCTTACCTATTCATAGATGCTGCGGTCGGAAGGGACCTCAACAGATTATCGAGTCCGACCCCCTGCCTAGGCAGGAAAGAGGGCTGGGGTCAGAAGACCCCAGCCAGATGCCTATCCATAACTAGTCTAACTAGTCAGATAGTTCCTTTTAATCTGCAGCCTAAATTTCCCCTGCTGCAACTTGAGGCCATAGCTTCTAGTCCTGCCTGCTACAGCCAGAGAGAAAAGCCCATCTCCATTGTCTGTATCATCATCCTTCAGGTATTTGAAGATTGCTATCAAATCCCTCCCTGTTTTCCCCTGATGATTTGGTAGGCAGCCACAAAATCACCTCTCAGCCTTCTCTTGCAGAGGCTAAAGAGGTCCAGGTCCCCAGTCTCTCCTCGTAGGGCTTGTCCTGTAAGTCCCTAACCATACGAGTGGCCGTCCTTTGGACCCTCTTGAGTCTATCAACATCCTTCTTGAAGTACAGCACCCATAACTGGACACAGTACTCCAACTGCAGTCTCACCAATGCTGCATAAAGGGGAAGTATCACCTCCTTGGTTCTATTTGCCATGCATCTGCTGATGCATGATAAGGTGCGGTTAGCTTTGCTTATGATTTTGTCACACTGATGACTCATGTTCATCTTGGAGTCCACTATGACTCCAAAATCCCTTTCTGCTTCTGTGCTGCTGAGAGGGTCACTTCCTACCCAGTAGGTGTGCTGGGAATTTTTGCACCTGAGGTGCAGCACTCTGCATTTGTCCTTGTTGTACTCCATCCTTCGTGTACTCCCCACTTTTCTAACCTGTCCAGGTCTGCCTGCAGTCGTTCCTTACCCTCCAGAGTTTGCACTTCACCCCACAATTTAGTATTGTTCGCAAACTTGGACAGAGTACACTTCACACCCACATCCAAGTCACTGATGAAGATATTGAAGAATACAGGTCCAAGGACTGAACCCTGTGGCACCCCACTACCCACATCCTTCCAGGTTGATACCAACCCATCTACTACCCATCTCTGGGTGCAACTGCTAAGCCAAGTTGCCACCCACTGGACCATGTAAACATCTATGTCACAGCTTCTTAATTTATTTATGAGAATGGGATGAGAT